CTGGTCAGATGTTCTCCATGAGATGGAAGGATCTGGTCAGATGTTCTTCGTTTCTAATGAACTGCTTCAGAACTAAGTTGTGTTTTTCTTTAGACTGCTGGAGTTAAACTTTGACGTCAGGAGTTTTGAAAACTACAAACAGGTGGAGATTCTGGATAAAATTTATGAAGGTACACCAACATTTTGAAGTAAACCTCTAGTTTCTTTGTCCTTGTGCAAAGATCCCGAGTCACGGTGTGAACTGTCACCATCTTTACCAAATGCTCCTGCAGCTGCCCAGGAGGACCATTCTGATGCCGACTGCTTCCTGCTCGCCTTCCTGAGCCACGGCGAGGACGACCATGTTTTTGCCTACGATGGCAAGATTGGCATCCAGGATATCACGTCCTTGTTCAAAGGAGACAAGTGCAAGAGCCTTGTGGGAAAACCAAAGATTTTTATTGTCCAGGTACGAAGCACAAAGTCTAGATGTCACGTGTCAAAGGGCCTCGTGCTTCTTTCAAACCTCGAGGTGAAAAACTGAACGTGTGTGCAGGCGTGCCGAGGGGACAAACACGATGTGCCGGTGACTCCCTTCGACGATGTGGACAACGAGGTCCAGACCAACGAGGTGATGGTGGATGCCTGCGCCATCCACACCCTCCCTGCTGGGGCGGACTTCATCATGTGCTACTCTGTGGCTGAGGGTGAGTCTTGTGGTGCTCTCCTGGTTTCACTGGTTTGAGCTGGAACATTTCAACAACGCTGCTGGGAAAAAGTAAAAACTCTAGTTGAGAAACTCATGCGGGGCCGCCTCCTCTGACGAGATGAGACGGGGATCATTCAGATGGTTGTCCTCTCGATTTCATTTATGTCATGAAACATTATCAATCAACCTTTATTTCTACAGGTAAATCCCATTGAGCCTCGAGGACTCATTTACAAGAGAGACCTGATTTCAACAAAGAAAGATGACAAGTTAAGATGACTTCTCATGACACTCATTAAGTGTCATGAGAAGAAATACCCAGAGATGATCGCCAGCAGCGTTATCAACCCTACCCGTTATAATTACATTAAAACTTTTGTTATAACTAGATTAAAACATTTGTTATAACTAGATTAAAACATTTGTTATAACTAGATTAAAACATTTGTTATAATTAGATTAAAACATTCATGCTGCTAGCCAACAATTCTGAGTGGGGTCACCTGGACAGTTTCTTTTTATTTGTTTGTTTGTTTGTTCTTTTTATTCATGCAGCGGTGGACTGAAAGCTGAAAAGTGTTTGGGAACGTTGATCTAGACCAAATGCAAGAGTTTGTTCAGGTGTGGAAAAAGCAGTTGAGTCAGAACACTTTCACAAATCCAGGGTTCTCTTCAGCACATGTCAGGAAGTGATTCAGGTGAACATGAATCCAACATTAAAGCCGACCAGCCTTGGTCTTCAGAGCAGCATGGATTCTTCTCCTCACCCTCGTTCTGCAGTTTCTGCAGCTCGTGCAACATCTGGACTCCTGCTCCCGTTTGTTGAACGTGTTCTCGATCTTAACGACACTGACGGATGTTTGCGGCTCCTACAGGGAACCTCAACGGTGCTTCAGTCTTTCTTGCAAATATTCATTATCGCTGCAGCCAAACATTTAAGTTTGTTTTCTGCTCCCAGTTGTTCTGAGTGCACGTCACGCACGTGACACCTGATTTTTAAACGGTCTGAGGTGAACTGCATGAGCTTGACCTCTGTATGTGCAGCTCTCTGTTGTCCTCGTCTTCAGACTCCAGACCCAAATAAAAAGTTTAGATGAGCCCATGATGATGTTCTGCTCTGCTTGAATCTTCAGGTCCTGATGCTGCTCAATAATCCAGGTAGAAACATGTAAAGAAGTGTGGTCCTCTGGACAGGTTCTTGTCCAGTGTAACCTCTGCCCACTTGAATATATTACTTGAAAAACATGAAGGTTTCCTTGTTCCCTGTTCAGTCCAGGAGACGCCCAAATGAAACGACCCCTCTGTTCACGTTGCAGGAGACGAGCTGCTCAGCGTGTCAAAGATCTGATGCTGCTTTCAAAGCACGTCTTCGTCACGCCGAACATTTGTTCACGTGTAGTGATCCTGATTGGTTTGTGTCCACAGGTTACTATTCTCACAGGGAGACCATCAACGGCTCGTGGTACGTCCAGGATCTGTGCGAGCTGCTGAAGAAGTACGGGACGAGCCTGGAATTCACCGAGTTGCTCACGCTGGTCAACAAGAAGGTGTCCATGAGAAGAGTTGGCAACGGCAACGACCGCAGTATGGTTGGGAAGAAGCAGGTGCCCTGCTTTGCTTCAATGCTCACGAAGAAACTCTACTTCCGACCAAAGAAATGACCGCGGGGCCTCGAGCAGACGAGTTTCTACATGGAGTGAATATTTTGTGGGCGAAGGGAAACGACTCTTTCACAGTTTGAGTAAAACGATGGTACTACGCATGAATCCATGTGCGGAGTCATTTTAATATCACAAGTAAAATAACGTGTACAGCTTGGAGTAGTCTTGGTCAGTACACGCTGGCTTTTTCAATTCAGGTTTTCTTTATTCAATTCTTCTTCTTGCAACATTATTCAGTTCTTGCAACATTCAGGATGTTTGAAACATTGAAGACGTTCATTTTGTGCAGATCGTTTCACTTTCTTTGATCTGTCAGTCACCACGCCATCGTGCTGCCGGCGGTAATGAACCAAACTGTTGGCGTGCTGCAGAGCTCATGACGGCACTGCTCTACACAAACGGACCTGCAGGATCATTTCTGGTTCTTTCTGGTAAAGGTTTGATTGTAGAGCCTGAGCGCGTCACACTTTCTGTGCCTTCAAACTCTTCTTATGAAACAGGAAATGTTTGAGCTGTTCTTCGTGTCATAGATGATCAGAGGTTTCATAATGCACGTTTCCACGTAAAATAAAGACGTATGTGCACGTCCCAGAAAGAAGCTGCTGTCACATGATCTGTTTCTACCACTGATTCTGTACAACTCCTTCATACTGTTTTAAAATAAATTCAAGTTTATGGAGAAAAAACTGCCTCTTTAAATCTCTAAATGTTGATTTCACATGTTTTACCTGCAACTACTGAACATCATCGGTCTCTACAAACGGGGCGACAGTTTGGTTCTGTTGGACTCGTCCAGATCGGCTCCTTGTCAGGTTCTGTTCAGAACTTTGATGGACAGAACTTCTCTGTGCAGCCAGGGGGTGGAGGGAGTCCAGTTCTGTGGCCTCAGGTTCCATCTCTGCGCTTTGCAGATGATGGGGTCCTGTTGGTGTCATCGTGCCGTGACCTTCAGCTCTCACTGGAGCGGTTCACAGCCGGGATGAGAACCAGCACCTCCAGATCTGAGGCCGTGGTCCTCAGTCAGAGGATTGTTCTCTTCAGGTCCAGGGTGAGGTTCTGCCTCGAGTGGAGTTCAAGTATCTCTGGGTTTTGTTCACGAGTGAGGAAAGAACGGAGCGTGAGATTGACAGACGGATTGGTGCAGCATCTGCAGTATTGTGGACTCTGTGCCGGTCCGTTGTGGTGAAGAGCTGAGCTGTAAGAAGCTCTCTGTTTACCAGTCGGTCTACGTTCCTCCCCTCACCTCATGAACTCTGGGTAGAGACTGAAAGAATGAGATCATGGATCCAGGAGGTTGAAATGAGTTCCTCTGCAGAGCTGGACTCCCTCAGACGGGGGGAGAAGTTCAGTTATCAGGAGAGACTCGGAGTAGAACCACTGCTCCTCCACATCCAGAGGAGACAGTTGAGGTGGTTCATCTGGTAAAGATGCTTCCTGGTCCCCTCCCTAGGGAGGTGCTTCATACATGTGACTGGGAGGAGACCCCGGGGAAGACCCAGGACATACTGGACAGACTATGTCTCTGTTGGTCTGGGAACAACTTGGAGTCCTTCCAGAAGATCTGGAAGAGTCTGGAGAGAGAGGTCTGGACCTCCCTGCTCAAGATGCTGCCCCCGAGACCTGAGTCCAGAACAAGAGGAAGATGATGGATGGATAATTAAAATAATCAAATTACACTTGATTGATATTTTAACAAATTATTGGACAGACTGCAGGAAATGTAAACTTTATTTGTTTCTAGTTTTCAAGGGTATGACGTCATTTGTCAAGAACGTTATGGACCCAAAACAAAAAGTGGTAAAAAGTAACAGCATCAAAATAAAGTCTACATTTGAGCCGTTTCAAAGTTTCCAGATGTGCATCATTTATGGCTTTGGCTGAATCTGTTGGAGCGGCAGCTGAAGCCGGTTTGGGTTCCTCAGACGTCTCAGATCCTCCTCCACCTGTCACACAAACAACTTCTGTAAAGAAGGCGGCACATCAGAGATGACCAGAAGAAAACAGAGTCTGAATAAAGTGCAGGAAATTCAAAACTTGTTAAAGCGTCATCTGTTCAAATGGATATAAATACTACACCTAAACATCTGTTGGCACATCTCTGAACACTAAACGGTACAAAGACCATAAAAACAATTCAAATGATGAAAATATGATGAGACAAGATGGAACATGTCTGCTGCAGTTCATCTGATGAACATCAAAAGGTTCCACCTCCAAGACCATCATGTCTGAATCTTTAAGTTTGTAGAAATAAACAGTTGATGTGAAGCAGCTGCAGCACGTTTTGTTTTATAACCGTTCATTTTCAAACTGGGGGATTTGAACCAACACCCGGGCTGTAAGAAGAATTTTCACTGACAAAGCATCCGGTGTGAGAAACGTAGAGTTAGATCTTTGTGGACATCTGCTAAGATGCTGCACAGCTGCTGCACATCTGCTGCACATCTGCTAAGATGCTGCACAGCTGCTGCACATCTGCTAAGATGCTGCGCAGCTGCTGCACATCTGCTAAGATGCCGCGCAGCCGCTGCACATCTGCTGCGCAGCCGCTGCACATCTGCTGCACATCTGCTGCACATCTGCTAAGATGCTGCGCAGCTGCTGCACATCTGCTGCACATCTGCTGCACATCTGCTGCACATCTGCTAAGATGCTGCGCAGCTGCTGCACATCTGCTGCACATCTGCTGCACATCTGCTGCACATCTGCTGACTGACTCACAGAGAGCTGCTTTGTGAGCTGAAACAAGAAGATTAGAAACTGTCTCAAGAGGTCGGAGAAGAAATGACTTCACCTGGAATTAAAGGAGTGGAAGTGGGCTGAGATATTTACAGAGTTAGTTTCTACGACTGACAGACAGACAGACAGACAGACAGACAGACACAGACAGACAGACACAGACAGACAGACAGACACAGACAGACAGACAGAGACAGACAGACAGACACAGACAGACAGACAGACAGACAGACAGGAAACTGTCTCATCACGATGATTAGCTCCGGGACTTTCAGCAGACTCAACTGAAGGTGGTCCAGAAAACATCTGCTGTCTCCTCAGTGACCACATGATGGAACTCCCCCGCTCATACTTACTGTATGTGCCCCTCCATAGATGTACTACTATAGTACAACTATAGTATTAGTACTACCATAGTACAACTATAGTATTAGTACTACCGGCATACTAGTACTACTAGTACAAGTTTAGTTTTATGTAATACTAGTGCTACTAAAATGACTAGTATTATACTGTATTTGTACTAGTACTATAATACTAGTACTTTACTAGTAAAATAATACTACTAGTATTATTTTACTAGTAAAGTCCTAGTATTGTATTTGTACCAGTACTATAATACAAGTAGTTAACTAGTGCAATTATACTAGTAGTATTAGTCTTATACTAGTACTAGAAGTAATACTATTAGTACTAGTAAGAGCGTGTGTTGTACTGGACCAAATCCAGGTGAATTTTTACCATTGTCTTCTAATGGAGCTTAAATGAAGCCTGATATTTAAAAACCCAAATAGTACAAGAAGTAAAAGTTGTGGGCAGTTCCTGTTAGTTAATAGTTTGAATGTTGCAGTAAGATGAAGTACGTGGGATTGGTTCTACGGTAAAGATTGGCCCAAAGTGTTCATGAGTTCAAGCAGAACAATGAACCAACCTGGGCCAGTTCGTCCTTCAGCTCGTTGTATTTGTACACACTGAAATCCTTCTTCCTGGCTGCTTTATAAAAGTAACGCAGAAACTGTCGGTCTTGAGCGTCTGGATACACACAGTCCTGCAGGAAAGAGGACAGGACAGTCACTCCGGAGGAAAACTGCAGCTCGGAACATTTCAGCTAAACATCACACGTGCCTCTTTGTGTCTTTCAGTTCACAGGAGAAGTTTATTTAAGAAGAATCTGTAAATCAGGTCTGTGACCTCAGTGGGATCGACCTGCTTCAATGAAGTTGATCACTTCTTGCCTGTTTCGTGAGCACATAATAGGCGAAAGCTGCCATGCTGGTGGCGTAGGTGATGAAGTAGGTGACGGGCTCCATGACATCCCATGAGTAGACCCACCAGGTGAGCCAGGCCAGGGCCCCGCCCTGCACAGACAGCAGGGCCAGGCCAGTCCACAGAAGCCGGGAGGTCTGAACCTCTGCAGTGTGGGACAGCTGGGCCTTTATCTGAAACGGGACAGAAGGAAAACTTCTACATCTCATGCTTTTATTCTGAAATGTCTCAGTCCACACAGCTGCTCAGCTCCACCTGCTCAAGAGGTGCCAGCTCCTGTTTCAGGTGGTCCACCTTCTCCAGCAGCTGCTTCTCCCTCAGCAGGTGGAGATCAGGCTGGTGGAGCGCCGTGTGCAGCACGTGCACCACGTGCTTCACATCCTGCAGCTCTCTGGCACGCTCACTGGACAGACGCCCTGCAGCAGAGGTGGACAGAGTGAAGACGTGCAGGTACACCTGCAGAGATGACACAGCAGGTCTGTACCTTTTTCAGGTGCATGGACGTCATAAAGCACATTATTGATGCTGAGCTGGAAGTCCTTGGCCAGTAAGGTGTCCACGAGCGTGCTGCTGGCAACACGTTCTCCATCTGGAAACACAAACTTCTAGTTACAGTTGTGTTTGAATCCACTCGTGATTATTGTGAGACAGAGCGAGTAGGATCAACAATACGACAGATCCTGGTGGCCCGCCTCAGAACGATGCAGCTTTCAGATGAAGAGACGTTTTCTTCCAAAAAGTAATCTGTCCAGATGACAGGATGCAAGTTTTGTGATTTCTGCAGGAATCATTTAGTTTGTCCATGTGAGCAGCTGCTTTATGGTCGCCGCCATCTTTGTCCCCGACAGCAGGGACTCTGGGCTCCAGCAGGTCCATGGAAGACCTGAGCTTCAGTGTTCCTGAACATCTGAACCATTTTCCTTTGATTTGATGGGACACTTTGGGTTTTCATCCAGACCTTGGCACAGAGGTCACCCAGTCCATCCTTTGAATCCTACCAGTATCATCAACCAGTTCAAATACACCAGAATGAAGGAAATGGCATTTATTCAGAATTTTCCAGAAATTATTTGAACTGGTTGTTCAACAGCCAGTTCACCTCCATAACTAAACACTTGATTCAGTAACTACTTTAGAGAAGCCTGACCAACAGCTCTCCTTGTGTGAATAGAGCACAATCAGTTTCTCACATCCTAGTCACCTCCCACGTCCAGAACTGCCAGAACTAATGTAGCATGAAGCTAGCGGCACGCAATACAGACACGTTAGCTAAGATGCTACGGACGTAGCGCTCCACCTCTCTCCCACGTCCTGTATCGTGTTTTATATTACGCACGGTCTTACTTCAACATTAAGCTTTGGAGATGAAACGTGATCGTTCCCATAGTTGAGACATAAAATGTGTTCGATGAAGCTCCAAGTCATGACGTCAACAAGAGGAGCCGACGGTTCTTTTTGACCTCAGATGTGGATCAGACGAGAACCAGCTCTGCCCAAACCTGTTCTCCACCCAGCACCAGTTCCAACCGAACATCTGCAGGAGTCCACAGAACATCTGCAGGAGTCCACCGGACATCTGCAGG